TTGCCATGCCTGGTGCCTGCATATGACAGCGGTGCTGGGCACTGGGTCCAAAGTGGGGAAACATGGTTGAGGGCCTAAGATGACCTCAAAGCCTTGAGGGCCTGTCACAATGAGCTCTAGCTGAGAGGTCCCTGTAAGCAGGTTGGCCAAGAAAGCCCCAGGCAGGTGAATGCATGGCAGAAACACCCCGCATTCCAGTCTCATGAGGTTATTTTGGGGTGAGTGTGGCAGCAAGCCTGGAAATGAGGCTCTTCAGTGTGGCATGTGAACTGTCCTGCGTGCGTTCCCAGACCTCCGCTGGCCCGACCCGAGCCTGACCAGGGCAGACTCCCTGGGATGGGATTCACTCTACCAGCCAGGCACAATCCTTCGGGCTGGCTGAGGCTGTTTTCCTTGCCACTCAGGGCTTTCCTGCCAAGCTTGGCACTGGCTGAGTCAAGAGTGAGCTTGGAGAAAGGGAAAGATCCCAGCCCCAGACCTCATCAATTCCCTGCCATCTAATAACTCGCAGCTTCGGCAGACAAACACACGCACACATTCATTACCAAGTCTAATTAGGCTGTAGACAAGTGGCATTAATCATTTTTGACTATACCTGGAATTCAAGCCCCCATACTCCATAATCATAAAATCCCATGCTCTGATGGATGGGGGCTGGAATTGGCCCACATTTAATCCCTTCACTTTCATCCTTTGAGAAAATGGGAAGAGAAGAAAGGAAAACTAGGGATGTGAGACTGCAGGGCACAGAGTACCACTGCTGCCCCTTCCCTGTCTTTTAACACACACGCCAAAAAGGCCTTTCCTAAGACTTTAATCAGAGCCGGGAGAGAAAACTGGGTGTTTCCTGGTCATCTTTAACAACAAAAACATCATTTTTCGTGCCCAATTCTCCCAGCTTCCTAAACAAAATATGGGTCCAAACTAAGGAAAACACAAGCTATAAATCCCAGCACAAACAGCCCCCCAGTGCCCAGAGTAAGCACAGGGACCACCAGCACAACAAAGGGCACTTGCCAGGATGCTTCCTATGGGGACCTTGTCTGTCACAGCGGGGTGGGGATGGGGTTGGTGGCCAAGGTCAGGGTCCTAGGGGTTGGTGGCCAAGGTCAGGGTCCTAGTCTTGTTGCAAAGAGCCCCTAGTAGAATCAGTGAGACGCCGCCTGGGCGGCTCCAATCCCATAGAGGGTAGAATTAAACCGAGCCATTAATACAGCAACAGTAACTAGAGAAACCACACAAGCACCCTCACAGCTCTCATGAGTAATGTCACGGAGCCCCTCCCTAGGCATCTGGCAGCAAACATGAGGTCCTCACTCTGTAATCAGAGTCTACCACTGGAGGAGGAGATTAGGGAGGGGGCTAAGCCCGGGAGACCCTTTTTTTTTTCCAAGCCCATCATTTTAATCACCTTATACTCACGGCTCTGAACAACTAACCTTTCCAAGAGACCCTTTCCTGGAGCCAACCTGGGCACCCATGTGTCAACAGCTTCCACCCAAGTCTCTCCTCCCTGGCTGACAATTAGACTTGGTTTCCCCAACTGCCAGGCCATTCCCTGGCCCAGGATGGTTCACACACCCACTCAAACGAGACAATGGCAGAGGGCCATCTTTATGTGCGTACCTTCTACACAAGAAAGGGCAAGAGGCAGCTGGAGAAATTCCCGGGTAATTTGCTGCTGACTTCTCTGGGAGTGCTGGAGCTAGTGCCTAACCATTACCACCTCACCAAAAACAACAAAGCAATGGGGTCCAGACACCTCTCAACTTCCACTGTTATCCTCTGTGTGTATTTGCAACAAGCCCATTGGACTTCCTTCTCCGTCTGACAAATTTGATTTTGTGTAAGCCTGTGTTACACATTTGTTGTGGGTGTGTTTGGAAGCCAGAGGTCATATTTTTTAGATGGGGTCCCTCATTGAGCCTGGAGTTTATCAATACAGCTAGACTGACTGGTTGGCAAGCTACCCCTTGTCCCCTACAAGTGAGCACTGTAGGGCCAGGCTTTTTATGTGAGTGCTGGGGGACTGAACTCACGTCCTTAGGCTTGCATGACAAGCACTTTATCACAGGAGCAGTCTTGGCAGCCCTCAGACTTAATCCTGACAGTCAGCATTAGCTCTGAACTCTCCTCTTGGCAAACCCAGTGTTAACCAGCGCTGCTACAGATCTTGAAATGGGACTAAACTTAAGATAGCCAAGGCAATTCTCTAACGCTTCCCTTATTGAAAGCCCATTTGCCAACCAGGCTCCCACCCAGCATCAGCATCCTGAACAGGAAGATGTTGACCACAGCCCCACAGCCCCCTGAGACTTAAGAGTGTAGACAAGCGTCCATTTCCAACCACCACTTACAGAAACCAGGCATGGCACTCTGCTGGTGGAAAGTGCTACTCGGAAAGAGACCCCTAAGGCAGGTACACCAGCCTCAGCCACGGGACTGTGGTTTACTCACAGCTGACTTCCATCTGAGATGCCAGGCAGGGATGTCATTTCTGAAGGACTCTTCATACCTGGACTTCTCTCCACTTCTCCTTTTCAGCTCAACAGCCAAGCTAAGCTTGAAAACTGTATTCAAGGCTTAGGAGGTACAGTGAGCCCCAGCTAACCATTAAGATGGGTGAAGTGGTAGGAGACAATAGTAACAATTATATCTAATTAGATGTCCATTGTGTATCCTGCCAACCACTTTTATAATTAACTTACATGTATATGATTAATACATTGAACCCTCACATTAACATAATGCAGTAGATAAGATCACTACCCCCACTTTTTAAAAGACAAATGAATGCAACTTGGATTCATGGGGTCACACAGAGACTAAGTGGTAGTTGGGATTCAAAGGCAGGACTTTGGCTCCAATTTGAAGTGTGTGTGTGTGTGTATGCAGTAGGGTAGATTGGCTGGCCAGCAAGGCCCAGGAATCTGCCTGTTCCCACCCCCTGCCCAGCACTGAGATTACAAGCACATGCCGGCCACCAAACCTGCCTGCCTTTATTTTTTTCACATGGGTTCTGGGGATCAAGTTCAGGCCCTCATGCTTGCTTTGCCAACTTCCCCAGTTCCAGGATTACCTTTTAGAAGTTCCTTTTCTGACCTGGGCTTTTCAAAATGAGAATCAAGCAAACCAACTCTCTCGGGGACCCAGAGCGACCTCAGCTTGACACCAGATGCCTGAGTCTGCCTGAACACCAACAATTTCTCAACTTGTTCCTGGTCAGCCGAACACTCACAGTTAGTTAAATATTAAAAACAACAAACAGAGAATCTTTTCGGTGGCTTCTTGACTCTGGTTCTCCTGCCTTTGTAGTGGTCAGACATCTCTGGCTGGTTTAAAGCCAGCCATGCCGAGGCCACAGGAGCCCAAGAAAGCGAAAGAACCTCAACAATCTGCAGCTCAGAGGCCTTGCCTGTGGTCTCTCTCCACTTTCCAACTGCTGGAAACTATTTAGGGACTGAGCAAGGGAAGCAATTCTAATGTGGTTCGGAGCTGCTTGTTTAGCCATGGAGTGCTGCACAGATCCCCACACAGAAGCCCACCAGCACACGATTAATGCTAACCAGAAGAATACCACAAACTTGGTGTAGAGTGGATGGTCCCTCAAAGTCTGAATGCAAGCAAGAATTACAGCAAGTATATTTTCCACAGACAGCTTCTGGAATTTGAGCATAAGTAAACCCAAGAGAGTGAAGGCACCTCCTCTTTCCCTGTGTACAGGGTTAGTGGCATGTGCAAGGCAGCCAGGAACATGGAGGGAGAAAACGCCAGCGGCATGTCCGAAGGTAATGCACTAGATTTTCAGCAGGTTAGAAGCATTTACAAGGTGCAGCAGCCGGCACAGGCACAGGACTCTAAACGCTCAGCTCTCTCCTGAACAGACACCTGAACGGGGAGTGCTCACTGTGGAAGAACAGTACCCACTCCCCCTTCCACTCAGACCCGGCAGCAGCTGAGAGAGAGCCACAGTGGCAGGGCTAGCTGCTGCTGTCCAGCAATGCAGTACGGGGGAGGCTGCTGTGGAGGAGTTCTACCAAAAGATCTGACTAGGACCACAACCCATTTGCAGACGACTGCTGGAGACTGGCATTGTGCTGGGCGTTTCACATGTTTAAAGTGGCTGCATAAACACATGAGCATCCTCCGCGACAGCAGATGCATGGGTTACTGAGGAGGACAGAGAGTAAAGGAACACACACATTCTCACCATTGGAGAGAGGTAATGTAAGCCTCGAGTGCAGCCTCGGTCGGAAACTCTCTACACTGGTGCCCAGTGTTTCAGTCAGGATTGAGAGAAGCCTGGCTGGCAACTGGAGATGCCCAAGCAGGGAGTTTAGTAATTTGGAGCTAGAAGATTGGTGCGACGGGGGTGGGGGTGGGGAAGAGAAGGAATGGGCAGGACTCTGCCAAACACTGAAGTAGAGCAGAGAATAAGGGGCTGGGGAGCCAGGTGTGGAAGACAGAAGGGGCCTCAGGTGCAGGTGACCTTGGCATCTTCCAACCTCACAGCCTGTTTCCATTCAAAACCTAGCCAGGCTTCCCGTGCCAACAGCTCCCCTAAGAGGAAAAGCTTGAGCTTTTGCCAGAGGTGACCAACAAGCCACTTCCCCATTAACTCTAATAAGTACGGGTCAAATACTCACTTCGCTATCAGTATCACCACCCAGTCCTCAAAATGTACAACTAAAGGAAGAAGAGGGTGTGTGGAAGACAACTGAATGACCTTGTGGCGAACCATCGATCTCAACCTGCAAACAAGCTTGCCTGCATGCTTCGGGGAAAAGGCTGGAACCGTCTGAAGGTGCATAACCTTAGAGCATAACCACACCTGCTTAGCTGGCAGCCACTCAGGGCTACCAGGCAATGGACAGCAGCTGTCTCCAAAGGTTACCTTCTTAAAGTTCGCGTTGGGCACAAAAGGCTATGGTCTCCTCTCCCAGGCTCACAGCCCTTCCTCACCCGGCGCGCCTCCCCCGCCCCGCCCTGCCCTCACTCACTAGCGCAGCGCAGCGCCTGCCGCAGCACCTCTCGTCCGCACAGGTCACACCAGCCCGGGCCGCCCCGCAGTGCCAGTTCCTCGAAACGGTGCCCCTCGCCTCTCTCGGCTAGGACGCGGGGATCCTGCGGTTGCTCGAAGATGCTCCGCACGTCGCGGGGTCGATGCGACCCGGGCCGCCGCCGCAGTCTCTGCTGCAGACCGGGCCGGACAGGGCGAGCGGGTCGGTAGTCCCGGGGCGTGGGCTCGGGGTCTCCCCGGGCAGCCCTCCGGCCGCCGCGTCCCTCTGACGCCCCGGACGCGGGGACCAGGGCCGCGGGGATGCAGCGGCGTGGCCGGCTGGGCGGCGGTGGTTCCATGCCACCCAGGCTCTGCAGATACCGTGGCGGCTCGGGGTCTAAGAGAAGCGGGTAGGGACGCTGTCCGATGGCCGGGGACGCCATGGTCGAGGCCCGCTGGCGGCCGCAGCTCTGGAGCTTGGCCGACAGAAGGGGCGGCTCCGGCCGAGCGCGCCTTTAAAGGGCCCGCAGCCCGCGGGCGGGGCGGGGCGGGGCGGGGTCCTCGGAGAGGCCGGAAGGGCAACACGCGTGGCTGCGGGCCTGAGCCGCGTGCTTTTAGGGGCGACCCCGCGACCTGGGCAGTGAAGATCGGGGCGCCAGAGAGGCTTTGCGAGGCGCGGTGGGCTCTGACTTCTGGGTCCCCGCCTCTAGCCCTGCCCGGTTCCCTCCGGGCGTCACCCAAACCTCGGCCGGGCGGTGCGCAGGTGGGAGGGGAGGGCTTGGGAACCCTGGAGCGGCCCCGGGGGCGGGAGCTGGCCCGCCGCTCTCAGCCGCCGCCCCCTCCCCGCCCCCCAGCCCAGCGTGGGTCAGGAAGGCGCACTGCGGACGCTGCCGGCTGGCCGTGGGAAGCGGGCTAGATTGGCTCTCCCTTCGCACCCCTGCGACGTAGGCTGACTACCCCCCAAGAGCGGGGTTAGGGTGATGGGTGATCCTGGGTGATCCCTGGTGATGGTTGATCGTGAGACCTCTCTGTGCCCTATGGAAGGGCAGGGGCTTTCCTTCCTAATTAAACCTCCCCTTAGCTGCGGTGTAATCGCTGCGGAAACGCAGATCCCCTAAACACCTGCTTTATTCCTGCTGTGGAAGGTTCACCTGAGTGGGGGGGTGGGGAGTGGAGTGGAGAAGTCCGCTTCCCACCAGCAACAAGGGTGCGCCATAGGTTCCTTAAGGTTCTGCCGCCACCATCTTGAAAGACCTAATTCCTGAACAAACGAGCAGGCGTATTCTTTTTATGCACTAGGTCTTGAAAATTAAGTAGTGGTAATGACTAGCGGTTCTGTCCACAGCCCCATCTCAAGGGAGAGAGAACAGGTGGGCCTGTAGGCCTCTTGGGTTTTTGAACCCGTGTCCTGTCGTATGCTGGCAACGGCCCCGGGGCCCTCTACAATCTATTTTTGTAGATGCAGGCGCCATTGCTCTTTCCAGTTGGGGTCGTTCTGACTTAGGGCTCACACTTTCCCCCTTAAATCACAGATTTGTTTTAATTAATAGTAGTCACCAGCAAACAACTTTGGGGATAGACTCAGAACATCATATCCAAAAACTCTGCATTTTGAGTTTCAACAAATCACTGATAGAAATATTTGGGGGAAAACCATGCCTGTACTGAACATGTACACACTTTTTCTTGGTATCATTCATTAAATAATAACGGATAGCAATGATCTATATACACTTATACGCTACCCGGTGTCACAAGGGAAATAGACATGACTGAAAATGCATAGGTTCTCTGTACACACTCAGCTACTTTATAAAAGAGCCGAGCATCCTCAGGTTGGAGTATGGTGTGTGTATGCAGTGGGTGTTGATTCTGAAACCAGACCTGGAATTGTCCATAAATCCATCTACACCTTAATCCTCAGGGTTCTTTCCAGGCCAGAGATGGGTCTCCCCCTAGTGTCTGGCTGGGGAATCCTCCCTTTCGCTTTTCCCCTTGAAGGTAATTTTAGGCAATTCCTAAAAGTCCAGTGGCCAGGGAATTCCCAGCCTTCCTTGCTCCAAGGCCTCTCCCCCAGGGTGGTGGTAATCAGAGTCCCCTCCCTTCCTAGTTGGTAGCAGAGGGCAAATTCCTGGTCTCTGGCCCTCACTCCATTCACTGGTCCCTGGGTAGTGGGGAAAAGTGACAGAAGTACTACAAAGTGGGGACAGCGGCGAGCAGGACACAGTGCTCTCCTACTCCACCTGCCTCCTGCTCTCCCTACAGCAGTGCTTCAGACTGGAGGCCAGCCACCCCCAGGGAACTTGTTAAATGACAGTTTGCCGGCTGAACCCCAAGTTCTAGTGTCAGTAGGGTCTGGGCTAGGATATGAGACCTTTGTGTTTCTAGCAAGTTCCCATGTAGTGTAGGTTCTGATGGTCTACTCAGAACTACTGCTCTAGGAAGTGGATTTCTCTGTTCCATACCCCAGGATCTTTGGGTTGGGTTGGGTTGGTTGGAACCGAGAGAACCCAGCAGGGGTGTTCCTTGACACTTTCTCTGCATGTGTGAAAGGGAAGTACAACCTGCCTTTGCAGCCTCATTCCTTCTCTCCAGTGTTTCTGCACGTACCTCCCAGGATTCTTGTAAAACCCTGCATTGCGTGTAATATTTGTTTGTTTCCACCCTGTGTCATGCATCCATCTCCACAAAGTTTGCAACTTGTCCATCTCACGGGTGCTACGCTCCAGGTGAGAGCCAGGACGGAGACCCATCTTGAGTACGGGGTGACAGTGGTGTAAGTAACATGGTTCTGGTAGAAAGTGCAGCATTAGGCCAGTTCTGAACACCATTTATGAATAATTGCCAGCGACCATCATCTCTGTCCTCCCCACACCCAGGTCTTCCAAGTGCCATTTAGGGTTGACCTGACGGGGAAGGCTCCTGTGGGTGGGCATCAGTGTTGTCTGTGTGTGACTGAGGCTGGTTGGGACAGTAGGGTCTCAGCTGGGACAGTAGGGTGTGCAGCCTTCCAGCTGGGACAGTCAGTGTACAGGCATCCCAGCTGTTGGGCTACCCAGAAGATGCTCTGGTTATGTTTTCTGGAGGCTCTGATTTGGTGGAGTAATGGTGCCTGCTTCCAGCGCTGATGGGGAAATGGAATGGAGCCAGATGAAGTGGAGATAGTATAACTTCATGTGACCCACCCAAACCTTTATCAAGTAGTTTATCTTAAGATTCATCTCCCTGAGACTAAACATTGAGGTCAGGGTAGGGCGGTGGCTGTCCCCCAACCTCAGTAGGTGTGGGATTCACCTCCCCAATCTTTCCCAATCGAGTCCCCTCCTACCCTGAAAGAGCATCTTCACTCACCCACCCTCCTACCCTCCCTCCCTCCCTCCTTCCCTTCCTTCTCCAGGGAAGAAGTGAAGAAGACAAAACACCCCTCTAGTTCCTGTGGAGGGACATCACCTGGGTGTTGGATGCCTGAGCAGCAGCATTTTTTTTATTATGTCCTTGGTCACTGCTGCAAGGTTCACCACATCTGCTGAAACATATACTGGGAGGTTTTTTGTCCTTAGTAGGTCATCTTGGCTTAGAGCTGGTCGCTTTTCCCAGCTGTGACTCACTCCAACAGAGAAAACATGCTGCTTTTCATTTTTGACCAAGGGGAGGAATTGTGGTGAATGTGAGTACAGTCTGTGAGGCTGTAGGGAGAGATCTTATGTACTGTAGCACTGACCATGCCCAGCGCTACAGGTATGTAAGATCTCTCCCTACATGAGGCCACTTCAGAGGTGGTCCCAAAACATTCTGTTTCCCCTCTTCAGTGAGTTATTTCAAGACTATCTCCCAATCCCCCCTCCAGTCCCCTAGCAGGAAAGAAAGAGGAAAGGGCAGGCATGGCCTGGTTTTCTGAAGAGGTTACTTTGGTTCTGTCTGGCTTTGAGGCATTTGATGTTGCTCCAAATCTCTGAAGGTTTTAGGGAACTTTGGGGGTATTGGCAGATGTGCAAAGGATTAGTATGCCAGTCAGGACAAGTTACATTATGTTGCAGTAACAAATAAGCCCCATATTTCACTGCATTTAAGCAATGGAGACTTCTTTCTCGCTCATACCACATGTCCCATGTGGAATGACAGGGCCCTTGCACAAGAGTCACACAGGAACTCATGCAGATCCCAGACACCATATCTAATATGGTCAGTCCCTGTGCTAGAAAGAAATCAAGAAAACCTTGATGATCCTCAATGGCATTTAAAAGTCTTGGTCACATCCATTTACAAGTCACAGACCACCCTATTCAGGAGAGCCAGTAGTGCAAGCTTGCCGTGAACTCAGCATTGGAAAAGAGCTAGAGGTAGTGGGCAACCATCACTGGTAACCACTGCGATCCTCAAGGACACACAGCAATAATCAGACTCTTCCACCACATAGTCCTCTAAGCTCCGCTGTGTATTGGGTGCTTGTCTAGGCACTGACACTGAGAGACACACATTCATCAAGCTTGCGTTTTAGTGGGAGAGGCACACAATAAACCCACACAGGCGCAAAATATATATCGGGTCTTTAGTGCTTTGAAAACAAACACAGCACTTTTAGGAGACAGAAGGTGAGGAGGTTTTCCCAACCATAAAATGATTTCCATTGTATCTGGTGGTGGTGATAGACGCCTTTAATCCAAGCACTCGGAAGGCAGAGGCAGGTGGATCTCTGAATTCGAGGCCAGCCTGGTCTACAGAGCAAGTTCCAGGACAGCCAGGCCTACACAGAGAAACTCTGCTTTGACAAACAAAAAACTCATTTTGTTGCTACTTCATAACTGTAATTTTGCACTGTTATGAAATGCAATGTAAATATATGGGTTTTGCAATAGTCTTTGGGGGTTGTGACCCACAGGTTGAGAACCACTAGGTTCGACAGAAAGGCCCTTTCCTTGATTCACTTAAACCTAACTAAATGGAGAAAAACCTGTGTCTAGGAAGAACAATGTTTCAGGCTAAGGGGGCAGCAGACACAAACCCCTAAACATTCATCGCGAACTCTGTGAATACGAATTTGTCCAAACGTTCCCAGGCCCATCTGACCATTGGTGGTAATGGATGTCCTTCTGTGTGCTGCAAATGTGTTGCTTTCATTGGTTGATGAATAAAGCTGTTTTGACAATGGCCAGACAGAATATAGCTAGGTAGAAATGAAGAGTGTGGACAGATGTTCTAAGAAGTGTGGAGGCATCCTAACACCTTTGGGGATGGGGGAAACAGTATTATCAGCCAAGGTGGTGGGCACTGCAGTGAATTTGCTGTGTTCAACGTTTCTGATTGACCAGGGCTGCGGACTGGACAAGCACCATGTCCATTCTCCGGCATGACTTTAAAAAAATTATTTGCTTATTTTGTGTGTGAGCAGAGCTCAGAGGACAGTTTGCAGGGGGTGCATAGGGGGTTCTGACTTTCTACCAAACATGTCATCAAATGCTAGTGCTCGAAAGGGAGTTTTCTCTGACCTTGAAAGTGCTTAGAGGCAAAGGGTGTGTGTAGGGGTGCTCCTGAAAAGTGTTGCCACTAGGCTGGGACACCACTTTCACGACATCTGCATGTCAAACGTGCAGTTTTTCCACCCCACAGCACTGCCAAACTTGTGATAAGGCTGGCTTGTGTGCACGCACATGCTTTTCCCCTGCACTGGAAAACCTCAGATGTTCCAGATTTGTCATCAGCCAAAGGCGAGGCTGCAGGCCACAGCACTTATATTCCAGGGCTAGGCCAGATCCTGGGCCTGGTGTGGTGGCAGCGAGCCTCAGCCTGGGTTAGGGCAGATTACCAAGCAGAGTGACTTGGGTGACTTCATGGGTCAGCCCCACTCTCCCCACCACTGTCTCCTCCTTCCGTTTCTCTGTTGCCCTCGTTTCTGCTCCCCCCAGCGTCTTTTCCTTTCTCCTTTCTTGCCACTCCCTTCCCTCTTCATCCCGGCTTCTCCCTTCATTCTCTCCCCCCCCATCTCTCCTGCCTCCCCTCCCTCTCTCTGGTGAGGGAGGTATGGAAAGCTAGGACTTTAAATGGCGGTTATTCTGCGTGGTCAGCCTAGGAACAGAAAGTGCCTTTGGGTCGCCATGGCACAGACTATAACCTCTCCCACTAGGGTTGCTCACCATGGTGGTTTGAGTGAGAACAGCCCCCATAGGCTCACATGTTTACTGTGAAGGATTAGGAGGTGTGGCCCAGTAAGAGGAGGCGTGGCCTTGTTAGAGGAAGTGTGTCACTGGGGGTAGGCTTGGAGGTTTCAAAAGCTCCCCCCCCGCCGTGAATAAGGCTGTAAACCAGCACAGTGCTTGCCACTGCGCTCCCCGCCGTGATGATGATAATGGACTAACTTTCTGAACCGGCAAGCAAGCCCCCGAATCCCCGAATTAAGTTCTTTCCTTTAAGAGTTGCTGTGGTCATGGTGTCTTGTCACAGCCTGGCGACACAGTTTCAGTCTGATCCAGGCTGTACAGACTCCATCTCAAAACAACAAAACGCTTAACTTTAAAGCAGGAAGGACGTTGCTGAAGTGTCTCAGAAGGACTCTCCACTAATGCGCCCATGCCGAAGAGAGGGGCCGCCATGTGAAAGCCAAAGGCAGATACTGAAGGAGGGTGGCCGGGCCTTCAGGGAGGTTCATCCTGCCTTACACTGGCTCTCCTAGATCCAGCTGTCCTAGAAACAGGGTGAGGGGTCCAGTCCAGGGGCTATTCCCAGGTCATCATCGGGGAAGCACACCAGCAATGCAGATTCCCGGGCCACGCCCACCGCTCGGATCCAGATGCTGGGTGGGGCCCAGGTACCAGTCTCCAAGAGCAAACTGTGGCATCTGAAGACTTGCTACAGAGCCCTACAGCACCAAGGCATGGAAGGAAGCTCTGGCCCACCTCTCCCCAGCCTCGGCTGCCTGGGCTCTAGTCTGAGGAACTGGGACTGCCCGGCACTCTCCCAGTGAGGACCATAACTTGAGCAAGCCCATTCTCAGAGGATGCCCAGATACTTCTCAATGGAATAGGGCCTCTTCCCAGATGTCTGCAAGGATCTGAGCCCCTCAGTCCCCCTGAGACCTGTGGCCACTGTCACAGGGACCTCAGAGCCATCGGGGTAGGACTTGAGGGAGTTCAGGGAACACTCACGCTTTATGGAAATCTCCAGTCTACTTGTACCACAACTTTCTGCCCTCCACGCTGGCACTAAGAATGGTACCTTTTAATACCAGTTGGACTTGACTTAAAAACCTGTCTGGCTCCTTAAAACAAAGCCCGTGGCCCAGTTCTGACCTTTGGGGCTGGCTCCTCCCTTTCCAAACTTCCTACTTGAGCCTATTGCTCAGGAACGCAGAAATACAGGCCTGTGCTTTCCTCTGCCCCACACATCCCGAGCCCCTCGCCTGCTCACGAGGGCTCCACTTTGGGGTCGCCCACTCCCAAGTGACATGCCCCCAGCCTGCTCTAGCCACCCTGCCCTGCGAGGAGGGTGACTCCTGCTACACCTGAGCTGTGCATTCCCATGACAACACCTGCTGAAGGACGATGAAATTCTGCCATCTGCCTGCCTTCCCCAGAGCCCAGCTCCTTAGTGCCAGTCAGAGTGTCCTTGTCACCCTGGTAGCTCCAGTACCTGGCAGGAGCCTGGCATTCTCACACCCCACCCGATGAACTGGGCTGTGGCCACTTACACTCTTCTGAAATGGAACTAGAAACCACATCAGCAGCCATCATGGAGTGAAGCCTCTGGGGCTGTTCCTCAGCTTGTGGGCATGCTCAGATCAGACTCTGGGCTGGTACCTCCCACACATCTGCATTTGGCCCTGAGGGATCCCCTGGCTCTTTTACTGAACTCCACCAAACAGTGGGTTCTGAGCTGCCAGGAAAAACCTCACTGTGGGACTTCCCTGTTGGGGCACTGGTGAGCAGAAGCTGGCCTGAATTCACCCCTGGAGAGCATGCTACAAGTGGCCTGGTGCTGCAGCTCAGAGAGCATACATGCAGAACAGAACTGATCTAAGCAGTTAGGCTCTGGCTTCTCTCCCTGGGTGGCTCTTACTGCAGACATCACATCTAGGACTCTGCCTTCCCCACTTCTGGCCCTGCTGGGTCATTTAGGGAGAGCACCCTCCACGGATGGGGAGACTTTCACTGACTGTCTCCATGCTCCAAAGTGCACAGTGGGGCTTCCTATCCACCTGCCTCTCCTTGCCCTACTGGCTTAAGGAAAGCTGGACAAGAGAGACTGAGTTTGTAAGCACTTTGCACAAATTGGAGTGTTTTACCCAGGTGCCCCTCTAGTTTCTAGGCTAAGTAAAGGAAAGCCCTATGGTGGTCCTCAAACATCTTAGACACTGTAGATTGTGGACAGTGGTAAGGATTGGGGGAATGGCAAGTGCGTAGATGGTGGGCGCCTTAGAAAAGAAAAGCCAAACTTTCTCTCCCAGGTCCAGGCTCCTTATGTGGCCACTAAATGACCGGGGAAGGAAATGGAGATCTCTTAGGGAGAGGCCATCTTCTCTGAATCCATTCCTAAAGCCAGAGCCGGCTGAAGGAAAGGCAGGGACCAGGAAATGAGCTCTCTGTTCCATTTCCCAATGCATCTCCTGAGAGGTCCCCACCCAGACCTGGGAGGGAGCGTTCCCATCCCTTCCATGATATCGGGGAAAGAGAAAAGGTGGTCCATTTATTCCATTTCCGAAGGTGTAGGCCTGCTGTCTCCTTAGGACTCTGCTTTCCATCTGTCCAGATGGCACGGCTGCCTGTTGTAGATACTGACCAGCTGTTTCTCAGCACCAAGGGTCCCCAAAGCGCCAGCAGCTGGCCTTAACCACCCACCTTCTCAACCGCAGTTTCCTCCAGATAAAGCACAAAGGGGCAGTTTGTGGGTTGCCTGGGAGCAGGGATGGGGACACTCAGGAAGTAGCAGGCAATGGGAAGTCTTGCCGATTAAGTTCTCTACTCCAGCACCCCAGAGAACCCCCTGAGAGCCTGCTGATCCCCGGGAGTTCAGAGCAGTGGGAGGGCTCAGCCCCTTCCCAAGGCCCTCCTGAGTTCAGACCTCCAGGCCTGGGTAACGAGGAACAGTTCTGGATGAGGCAGTGGTAGCTGCATGTTCTCCTATGCGTACTCTCCAGGATGGCTAGGAAGCCCTGTCCCAACTGCTTCCCAAGAGGACAGGCAGCCAAAGTAATGCTAGCTTTTTGGCCAGTGGCCTTGATGGAGGTAGGCTGGTGAGATGGGGCCAGACCTTGCCCTGTATTCTGTCTCATGGTGCAGGGGTACTGTATGACTGATGCTAATGGCCCCCCATGGAGCTCAGACATCTGGCGCTGATGGAAGTCTCTGTAACCTGTAAGAAAAAGCACAGGTCAACTTGGCCCACCTGTTGAAGAAGCCTGCAGATGGTGCCCCAGGGCCATCAATGTTCAGGAACACTCAGCCATCAGGTCCTCAGTTGTCCCCCTGTGGTACCCTTGTCCCCAGATACCACTTTCTGGTTTTTATCTGTGCATGTTGGGATCACCTGAAAAACTTAAAAGGCCCCTCTCCCAGGCCTCATTCAGGGTCTCTGGAGCAATCCCCAGACCCTGTACTTTTAGAAGCGCCACTGTTGCCACATGAAGATGCTCTTGGAGGCTCAGATTGGTTCCCTGGGCTCTTTGGCTGCAGGTCTGAATGAGGAAGTGCAAATTCACTCCAACACAGTTCTGAGATATTTGTAAATAGACTGTAAATCACCCCAAGAAAGATTTATGTGGGCACTAAAGATTAGAACTTCCTGCTAAAGAGGATGGAAGCTGCGGGATGGGGGGTTGGAGTCTCCTCCAGCTGGAGCAGAACTGGGAGCGGATGCCTCCCCCATCCAGGAACCCTCCAGAGCCCCAAGGACAAGCCACAGGCTCTGCTCCCAGTTGCCCTACTTCCTGACCCCACAGGAGCACGCTGCCGTGGTCTGAAAGAGAAAGCTCCAGAAGCCCGTATGTCTGAACGCTTGCTCAGTCTCCAGTGGCTGAAACTATCCGAGGACTAGACGGTGTGGCCTTGTCGGAGGAGGTGTGTCACTGGGGGTGGGCTTTGAGGTTTCAAAAACCCCACACCAAACCAGGCATAGTAGTGCATGTCTTTAATCCCAGCATTCGGGAGGCAGAGGCAGGCAGATCTCTGTGAGTGTGAGACCAGCGGGGCCTACATAGCGAGCAAGTTCCCGAACAGCCAGGGCTACATAAAGAGACCCTGTCTCAAACAAAGAAACAAGCAAACAACAGCATGCTTTCTAAAGCGGGACTGCTACAGAGCAGAGCTGCTCTGTGAATGTGCTCTGAGTTATCCGAGCAGTCGGCAATCCTGGTGCGCATGTCCACCCCACATTTCCTTTGTGACTCTTTTTTTTTTTTTTTTTTTTTTTTTTGGTTTTTCGAGACAGGGTTTCTCTGTAGCTTTGGAGGCTGTCCTGGAACTCGCTTGGTAGTCCAGGCTGGCCTCGAACTCACAGAGATCCGCCTGCCTCTGCCTCCCGAGTGCTGGGATTAAAGGCGTGCGCCTTAATCGTGCCTAGCATCCCAGTGCCTGGGCCCTGCTGCTGGTCCCCACGCGTCCAGGAGGGGGTGCTAGCTAGAGACGTGCCTGGGCACTGTGAGAGAAGGTGGGAAGGATGGAGCCCATGGGGCGGGACACATAGGCTTTGGACAAAAATGTCAGTTTGTCTGTGCTGTGGTTTCAGGGTGAGACATGCAGTGGCATCCACTCCAAGGACACCTGGAAGGTTCCTTAGGCAAGTAAGGAAGCCTTAGGCACAGTGCCCATATTCAGTGCAGAACTTGGCCCAGGCCCCAAGCCCCATTCTGATGTACTGAAGCTAGCTTCAAAGCCTATAGGCAAAGGCTATACCTCCTCAAGACGACGCCCCACTTGCGGATGAGGCCTTACACTCCTGTGTGGTTGTTCAGAGAATCAGCAAGTGCCTTGGATCCTGCATGCCGCACACATGCTCCCCCCCCCCCCCGCCACCCTCAAAGCCTTGGCAGCAGGAAGGACACAGCCTTCTTCAGACATAGGAGATGCTCACCGCTCGATGAGGCGGTTGTTTTCCTGGAGATCAAAGGCCAACAGCTTCATATCGTCACAAAGTTCCTGCATGCTGTCCCGGGAAGAAGAAGGGGTGGCTGAGGCCCAGTCACTTGTCCCAGAGCCCCCCCTTGCAGAGGCCATGGAGCGGCCTTTGGCCTGGCCCGGCATGAGATGAAGACCGCAGTGTTCACCTCAGCACCCTCCTCCCCAGCTCTCCAGCACTCACTGGCAGACCAGGTCCTCCGGGTCAGAACTTGGATGGGGAGCCACAGGGTGTGGTGAGGTCTGAGGCTCTGGTGCTCTGTCCAGAAGAAGCCGATCAAGGATCTGAAGGCAAGCCATGCGTTAGTCAGGAAGGAGCTGTCAGCTCACGCATGGCTGGGTAGGGGGCGTGCTGAGGAAGGGTGACACACCTGCCCCCACAGTCTCCCTAGAGGCCCTGGAACTATCCAGCATTGTCAACATGTAGTTCCTTCCCATCTGGGAGTGTCCTACTGGTGACACTGCCTTCCCTCATTTGTACTCAACTGAATAATTCAGCCCACCAAGCTCCCCTTTGGCTCTAACCTAAACCTCTCATGACACAATCTGAGCCACAATTTGGGATAGAGTCCACTCCTGGACAGTCTCCGAGGTTGCCCACATGACATGCTGGGATCCACGTGCAGCTCTCTCTCCTAGATGGGCCCACTCTGTATTCCTAGTGGACAGCTGGGCAGCTGCTTGGCCGAAAGTGACTCAGAAGGCCAAGGAGAGCTCACACAACCTCCCAGGAGCAGCCTAGGTCCTGCAGGCTGCACAAAACCGGCGGGAGATGTCCCAGCAGCCGGAGCCCTCGCTCACCGCGGCTTTCAGTCTGAAATCCCTAGCAATGTTCTTATCTCAGGGCACATCTGTAGGTCAGAGACCTCCAACCCTCATGGGCATCTCTGAGTTGGCCAAGGCTGCTCTGCCCATTGGCAGTAGTGATCCAAATGCCTGCTCCCCTCGGCAGCCCCCAGTGCCCCCAAAGCGCCCACACCTTGCTCAGGTTGTCTTGGGCTTCCCGGGCTTCTGTGCTACAGGCAGTCACCGATCGGCCAATGAGGTGTAGGTGGTTCTGAGCCTTCTGCACCTGCCTTAAGAGAAATGGAGATCAGAGCGGGCCATGCTCTCCACTGCTGGGACTCTCCAGTTGGTGTCAGCTCACCAGGGGTCCTAAGCATCGAGCTCCCCCTGTGACTCTGTCCTTCTGGGGGTCTCTCACCTGCTGTGCTGAGAGGATCCCAATAGAGCAGGGGCAGGGATCAGTATCAACACTCATGCGGATGTAGCTGGATCACTTAAGTGGTTATGGCCAGCATAGAGCCAGGTAAGGCATGAGAGACAGATGACAGCCCAGGCTGGCACACTTCTGTGAGGAATAGCAGCCCACACTAGAGCATTTATGTGCTTCCATTTCCGTAACAAAGTAAGGGCAAGACTTGCAAATTCTAATCTCTAATCAGAGGGCACGCGGGGACATTCCCCATTGCACAGAGTCCCAGGCCCATTAAACCAACAGCTGGTTCTCGGTTCAGAATACACACTAGGGTCATCAGGAATGGCCTTAAACCAATATCTAAGACCTGCCTGGCCCTTCATATCAGTGTGCTGGGGCCTCCCAGCCTTCGTATGCTAATGCGAGGGCGGGAGGAATGCAAGACAAGGCCTCACAGCACACAGAAAGTGGTCCTTTCTTCTCAGGGGCCCCAGGAACACGCAGCTGGGGAACATGGGGGCTTGAAAAAGGAGCCCCAAACTCCAGAATAGTGTGATAGAGGGCATGCTAGCGGGCGATGCCTGGCCCTGCCTCCCTGCCGTTGAAGTCCACCTGTTTCTCCTTCTCCCTAGGGAAGCTGCTGTTCTCCCTAGAGAGGAGAGTCTACCACACCAGACAGGGACAGCACGTAAAACCCAGATTTTAGGGGCACCGCTACCCACGCTCTAGTCCCCAGTCTGCTATTTATTAGCTGTGTGGCATTAGGAAGAGACCAGCTCTTGGAGCCTCGGTCACCTCATCTGAAAGGTGGTGATATTTGCTGTGTAAACGCTGTGGAACCAAGCAGGCACATTTGTGAAGTCACCCAGCAAACCTCCTGGCCCACACCTTTTTTCACTTCTCACGAGCACCTTTCCTACTCAGGTCCCACAGAGACGGGGGTCCTCTGAGGTCTGGAAGGGCTGGCCCAGTCCCGGCTCCATGAGCTCGGAGGAAGGAAGGGCCAGGCTGCTTACCTTATCCGCTTGCCATGTGTGACCAGAGACGTCTGATACTTCTGCACGCACTCCTCCTGGAACACCTGCAGCAGCCTCTTGGCTACATGGCTAAAATTCACCCTGGAAGGACAGAGAGCCCATGCCCTAGAGGTGAGCAGCCAGAGCCACCTGCACGCAGACAGAGTCCCTCCACCACTACCTGTCACAAACACCAGCCCCTCAGCCCTCAGCAAGGAAGCTTGTCGGGAAGAGAGGATGGCCACACACTCAGATCATAGAGCTCAGAGGCCAGGGAAGCCACATGTTCCAATAAGGAGACAGGGGAGGCCGATATTGTGGTCCATGAATGCATACCCTCTCAACTTGATCCCTGGAGAAGGAAGGATGTACAGTTACGGAAAGCTTGTGAGTGTGTGTGTGGGTGAGTGTGCATGCATGTGTGGGTGAGTGTGCATGTATGCGTGTGCGTGAGTGTACGTGTGTGCATGCATGTGTGGGTGAGTGTGCATGTGTGTGCACGTGTGTGCATGTGAGTGTGCACGTGTGTGAGTGTGCGTGTGTGTGAGTGCAGGAGTCAGAGGTACTATAGATCTGGGGTAAAAAAAAGAAAAATCCCCCACCATCCACCAGAGCAGGGGGCCTGGTGGAAGATGCGGGTGTCCAGGAAAGGTGTTGATGAGAAGCCAGGCAGGCCCAGGCCAAGCTCAAAAGCAGTGAGCAGAAAGAAGTCGGTCAGCGAGAATAATTCAAGAGAAAATCCTACAAACTTGTTCACAACGGGAGGAAAGCCAGTTAGTTACATCAAGGTTGACTGTATGAAGCCTGACTCAACTGTTCGTGTCCCTCCCCTGACCATATATATACACCCTGACTTGGATCTTTATCCCCTTTGCCCCGCCACAGCCAAGGGTCAAAGCGCTGCAGTATGTCCCGCCTGGAATGAAGACTTGCTCTACCCCATGACCTGGCCCTCCTGCCCACCTGCCTGCCAGGGAACAGCCCACTCACTTATCCAGCTTGTGGATCTGCTCCTCATTGTAGCTGAGTCCTGAAGGAAACAGATGGGGATGATGTCATCACTCAACTAGTCAACAAAGCAAATGAAACACATGAAGACAGCCTAGGGTGGTGGCTATTTTATGGGATCTCAAGCCTAGGGGAGCCAGGAGGGGCTGAGGAAGTGGAGTATCACGTAACTATGACAACATCATTATAGTGACTGGATGACTATGATTTAGGGACAAAGGAGCTGAGGAGAAATGCTATGGGGCTCCAGAGAAAGGCAGACCTGCTGGGTGGGCATGTGTGTGTGTGTGTGTATGTGTGCACATGCGTGTGCATGCATGTGTGTACACGCAAGTGTGAATACATGTGAATGTGCATGTGTGTATGTGTATATGTGTGTGCATGTGTTGCATGCATGTGTGTATGTGTGCACATGTGTGTGTGCGCGTGTGTGAATGTGCATGTGTGTATGTGTCTGCGTGTGTCTGCATGTGTGTATATGTGTGCATGTGTTGCGTGCATGTGTGTATGTGTCTGTGTTTGTCTACATGTGTGTGCATGTGTCTAGTGTGTGTGTGTGTGTGTGTGTGTGTGTGTGTGTGTGTGTGTACACATTGGGAGCTGGGAAATGCTGCAGGTGGGAATGCTGGGTGAATGGTCCTCATGGGATGCCGCCGCGGTCCTGCAGCCACAATGCTTTCTAGGGGGCAGCTGATTGGCTCCATCCCTGGGTTACTCACAGGTAGGCCACCACCTCATAGCTCTTCCTCTCTGCCCAGCAACTTTTTTCAGAGGAAACAACTTTGGTAGATGTGTCCTTGCCTGAACCTAGGCTACCACCCAAAGACCGGAAAGCTGATGAACTGAGGCGAGACTTTGAGGGGATGGGTCTCCAGAGCAGTGGGAGCCCCAAGATGCGGGTTTGCCCTTCCACTTTCCCATCCCATCACCCCAGTAAAGGAGCCTGCACTTGTGGAGACCAGGACACTTGACACATCCCAGCGCTTCCTCCTTCTAGCAGGCAGCTGTGTACAAGTGACTTGCTTCAGAGGTAGTTGTGTGTCTCATGTACACACAGGGAAGCCTATGTGGGTCACAGAGAGTGTCTGAAGAGTGCCAAGCAGTCTTCCAGAATGGCATCCTGCGACCCTCCATCATGCCGGCAGCTGTTCTATTCATAATAACGTACTCTGAAAATACAGTAAATATGGGACTCTTGAGGCTGTGAAATGGGTGGTTAAAGAAGCTGGACCCAGAATAATTGAGCTAGTGAGCCTTTCTGTGCCTCAGTTTCCCAATAAGGAAATAAGGAAAGCTGAGATGAACGGAGAGTTGCTGTTGCTTGTCTGCTTCTTTGTGTTTAAGACAGGGTCTCTCTACACAGCCCTGGCTGGCCTGGAACTCACTGTGTACACCAGACTGTTTTCAAACTCACAGATATCTACCTGTCTCAGCCTTTTGAGGCTGGGATCAAAGGCATGCACCACCACACTTGGTCATGCATAGTTTTATGAGCACTAAATAACCGGAAGACAATGGAGTCCTTGGGTTGGTCTAATGTCAAGGCACCACTTTAAAGCTTTGCTGTTAGGCTGGCGGAGTCCCAGACATGGAGGTAGACAACCTTCCTGCCTCTCCTGAAACCACAGCAGTGGCCAGCTGGGTACCAGACCTTGGCTGAGCCCCAGGTCCCACTGTCCCCAGGGACAGGAAGGCTTGCCTTCCCCATCCCCTCTGAGGAAGATGAAGGCCCCAAAGGAGAGAGCCCGCATTCTGTAGATCCCCAAGTCCTCATTGATGACCACCGAATACAGATGGCTAAAGAGCACCTGACATGTGGCCAAGGTGACTGGATTTTTAATGGAATGTACTAAATGTAAAATTTAAAACTGAAGCAGGGTGAAATGCTCTTTTTTCCTGCTAAAAACAACTTTACAATTTTGTTAAGACTTACCACACTTATTGAACACTTGTCTTCTAGACAGATATAAAGTATAAAATACACATGGGATTTTGAAAGGGAGCATAAAACATCTCTTTAGTGGTTTGTTTTATATTGAGTATATGCCAAAATGACTTTAGGATATATTGAATAAGATAAAATATACTAAATTAATTTCACCTGTGTTTTCTTTTTAATTTGACTGTGAGAAAACTTAAATTACACATATGGCTAGATGTTATGGCTCTCCTAATAGTGTGTTATACGTGTTACAGATTATCCTGGGGCCAGAAGAGCACTAGGCAATGAGGCAGATATGGGAATATTTGCAGGATAGGGTGGGGTCAGAGAGTGAGCTCTGGCATGTTAGCTCCCTAGCTAACTGGGGCTTTTATTCCCAGGCTTCCCCAATTAACTCCATTCCCACCCCTCCCCAGGTTCAAGCCTACTCCACCCTCATCCAATTCAGACAACCTTGTGAAGCACTGTCTCCACCCAGAAGGTCTTTTGTGGGCATTTGAAGATAATATGAAAAATCGCCCAGTCCAGGAACTCTAATGGGAATTTCTTTTGGTCCGCCATTCTCAGACAAACTGGGTCCTTGGGTGGTCCAAAGACACGGTGGAGGGGCTGGGGCCATGGGCCTGTGAGTGAAGTGCTACTGTGCAGTGCGGAAACTAGAGTTCAGATCCTCAGCGCCCACGGAAACTCTGGGCAGGCACAGTGGCCACTTGTGACCCCAGTGCTAGGCAGGTGGAGACAGGTGACTCCCAGAGCAAGCTGGTTAGCTACATTAGACAAATTGGTGAGCTCCAAGTTCAATACGAGACCCTACCTCAAAATATAAAGTGCAGAGCAAATGGAAGAAGGAGAAGAAGAAGAAGAAGAAGAAGAAGAAGAAGAAGAAGAAGAAGAAGAAGAAGAAGAAGAAGATGCTGTTTAGTATCAATGCCTGAATGTCTGACCTCTACAACAGGTAAACATACATACACAAGATACATGCATGCTGGCCGGGCGGTGGTGGTATATGCCTTTAATCCCAGCACTCGGTAGGCAGAGGCCAGGCTGGACCAACAGCCTCCAAAACAATACAGAGAAACCCTGTCTTGTAAAAACCAAAAAAAAAAAAAAAAAAAAAGAAAAAAGAAAAAAGAAAAAAAGATACATGCATGCAGAAGATGAGCTCGCAATCACACACACACACACACACACACACACACACACACACACGAAAGACACAGCAGACGGGGAAAACACTTCTTAGAGTGCCCTGACAAGGTAAGGGGTTCTTCCCCAGGCCCCTTTCCACATTGCCCAAGCTCCTGCTCACTGTATCCTGCATCCACGACAGCTAAAATCTTCTCATAACAGCACAATGCCTCTCAGTAGCCTACAGGCAACATGCAGGCAGGGACTCTCCTGCCTGAAGGCAGCTGCCCCCTGGCTCCGGGTAGCATTATACACTCAGTGAGCCTCCAGCCAAGCTGGGGAGATGGAAGGGAGACGGGAAGGAGGGCTCCTGGCAGTCGGCTCTCTCCAAAGCTCACCTGGCCTCATCCTAGATTTCTTGAACTGTTTGTAGATGAAGTGCATCTTGTCCAAACAACACTGAATCTTCTGGATGCTGTGGGCAGGAAGCAGGAAGACTCAAACATCACAGTGGTAGGGTAGGAGGGAGCCGTCTCCCTGCCACAGAGCAGGGTGGGGTGTGATCTGGGAGCGCGGGAACCCAGCCCGTATTTAAGCTTATTTGGATCAAGCTCCCCCTTCTCTATCCCAGACCTGTCTCTCTCCCTGTCTCTCCCTCCTTCCCTTCTCCATATTCTTATATAGCTGTTCTGTTGGAGGAACTTAATGAGTCAACAGTTCTACCTAAAGCAGTAATGAGCCCGTGGTCCCCCTGAGGCAGGGGGATGGGATGGGAGGAGTCCTTTCAAGGGTCCTTGTCAACCTGGGGTTTGGATACAGCTGCTTCCTTCAGGGACCTGCTTCCTCTCCCTCAGGCCTGTTCGGCTCCACTTCCTTCCCAGAGGTTTCTAGCTGACCACCACCTCAGGTACTTCTGAGCTCCTTGCCAGGGCTTGGGCAGCCTGAGGGGAGGAGATTGACTGAGAGGCGTCTAGAGCCCTGGCTTCACGTTTGTGAGCTTGGAATTCCTTGTGAATCCAGAAACCTCAGTGCACACGGAGGGTTTGTGGAATCCACCCAGAGAGCTGGGCACACCTTCAATCTCACATACTCATGAAACAGAGGCAGGTGAGTCTCTGTACGTCTCCACAGTAAGTTCCAGGCCAGCCGCAGTTACACAGCGAGACCTTGTCTCAGAAAAAAAACTTCACCATAGATGAGACAGCACGCAAGCTTTATTCATTTTAGACTAGGTTCCGTGAGGAACCAGCTAAGAAAGGCCTGCCATTTTCAAAACTGTTTGAATCAGAATTGAGGACATGGGACACGGGATCTGTAGAGACCGCATCTGCCATGGTCGCAGAGGAACAAGGGAGGCTCTGCATTCTGCAGGTGCGGGCCGGCATTTTTAAGTTTGTGAAAACAGTAATAGGATTCTTTAAAAGCTGCAGCCTGGGAGCTGGAAAGACCGGTGAGTGGTTCAGAGTACTTGCTCTCACACAGGACCTGGGTTTGATTCCTGCACCCGACCCATGACTCACAACCATCTACAGCTCCAGTCCCAGGTGAACTGATGCCCTCTTCTGGCCTCAGGTGGCACTGCATGTATGTCGTGCTCATGCAACAAAACCCATACACACAAAATAATAAATTTTTGGAAGCAGGGTTTCTCTAGTCCTGACTGTTCTGGAACTCTCCTGTAGACCAGGCCGGCCTCCATCTCACAGAGATTCTCTTGCCTCTGCCTCCCAGGTGCTAGAATTAAAGGTGTGTGCCACCACTGCCTGGCTTTCCCCCCACAGGTTTTAAGCCTATATGATTTATCTATCATCTATCTATCTATCTATCTATCTATCTATCTATCTATCTATCTATCTATCTATCTACCTATCTATCTATCATGTGGTGCTGGAAGTTGAACCTGGAGTGTTCTGCCACCATGATACACCCCAGGCTGTAGACTCCTTTCAGTTGTAAGCTTTGGAGGCGGGTGACTCTGATCTGAAGCCCACCTGTCATTTATGGGTTGTGACTTAGGAAAGGAACCTCACAGAGTGAGCCCTCCCATCACGACAGGCATCAGCGGCACTGGTGTTTGATGGAGAACAGACACACCCAGAAATGAAGCTGAGATCTCCCGCACCTGCTGTGGCCCCACCCTTGTTATTCAAGCTCCCAGTCAGGGCTGGACCCAGGGCCTCACTCCTGGGGCTGGTCTCAGGGAGGGCCTGGCTCTTCCCTGGATTCCCCAGAAGAGAGCAGCAATCAGGCTGACTCCGAGAAAGCTTCTGAGCCTTTGGGCCGACTTGCAGTCCCCACCCTCGACCCCAGCCTCATCACACAGACGGAGGAAATCCCACAGACCTTCGGCTGTCATCGTGGATCTGATTCTGGTTCTTCAGAAACTCTCTGCCCAGGCAGCTCAGGCTCACTTGGATTTCTGTGACATTATGGGAACATCTAGAGAGGACCTCTGAAAACTGTGGGGCCAAAAGAGAGACTTCTGTGGGGTCCTGAACTCAGGGCTATGCTGGGCAAGCTGCAGGACCCCCAAACCCCACCTCTTATTCCTATAAAGCTCTGCCCCTGGCTCACTCACAGTCTGCAGCCTGGACCTCAGCTCCATGGCCTCCTTTAGTTCCTGGAAGTCGGGCATCCCAGCCCCACTGCTGAGCCTAGAGGGAAGTGAGGGTAAGGCCATGATAGGGCTCAGGAGGCAGGTGAAGGGACAGAGGGCTCTGAACCCACACACTGGGCACAGCCTCTTTGTGAAAGTCTTGTTGGCTTTCAGAGGGAGTTTAGAGTTTGAGACAGAGGGAACCAACTGACGTGGGCCCTACCCAGCACACCAAGGTTGTGATGTTACTGTTGGACACTGCAAAGAATAAAAGTCGAAATAGACTGAAACTCCCTCAACGCACAAGTCTACAGTGCAAAGGTAGCTATTTGTAGACTCCTTGCTAGAAAGTTCTACAACTAAATAGAATGAAATTCTTCCAAGTAGAAATTGTATTTCTTGAGAACCAATAGCACATTAATGTGAGGGCACCGTCCCATAGTAGTCCAGGACTTGGGATATTAGCATCCCAGTGAAGTGATTGACACTGAACTCCACTAAGAATGATCAAAAGGTGGACATTTGCAAAGTGACAAAGTTGCGCTGCCCTGGTTCTTTTGCAGGAAAAATGCACCTACATAGTAAAGGAATCACAGGACCACTACCTGTGGTGTGTGCACAGATAGTATCACACACGGTCTGTGGTGTGTCCTAACACAAAATGTTTAACTTGACTCCAACAGTCCGAGGAACCCCTAACGTACCAAAGATGCCTGGGAGGAAGAAGACGTCAAATGACAACGAGAACAAGTTCTATGAGCCTGTGGGTGGGACAATGACCCAGAGCCTCCAATAAGCCAGTGGCAGGAAAGCAAAGGAGGAGAAGAACTAAAAAAAAAACAAAACAAAACAAAAGCCTCAAGGAACAAAACTACCAGAAACAAAATGTGGCCCTGGCCTGGTTCCCAGTTTGGACAAAACAAGCTGTAAAAAGAAACCGAAGGACAGTTATGACGATGGGTACAGAGGGTGGGAATACGGTGATGGCAGGGGACCCACCAACTGAGAACAGCCTGCTGGTGACAGTTACAGTCTCAGAGAATGGTGGAGGGACACAGACGTGCAGTGTGGTGACCAGCGACTGACTTTCTCCTACCAGCAATACTCTTTTTAAATTTTTCTCATACAACATATTTAATCATATTTGTCCCCTCCCCCAAATCAGATCTTCCCTATAGCCCTACCCATTCAACTCCATGTTCTTTTTCCCTCTTAAAAGACAACAACACAGAAACAAACAAAAAAAAACAAACAAACAACCAATAAGACAAATGTTAAAACAAAGTGAAAAATAGTCATATCCCCCCATAACACAAAGACAACAACCATAGAGGTCATTTCGTGTTGACCAACTATTTGGAGCCCGCTGGGGAGTGGTGGCTGTACCCGGTGCTACTCCATTGCAGAAAACCGATTTTCGCTTTGCTGGCAGGTATCAATCGCAAAGAGCTTTTGGCTAGGGGTGGGACCTAGTGTCTACTTCCCTTTTCTCAGACATTACAGACATTAGCATATTCTCTCTCTCTCTGTGTCTCTCTGTCTCTGTCTGTCTCTCTGTCTCTCTGTCTTTCTGTCTCTCTCTCTGTCTCTCTCTCTCTGTCTCTCTCTCTCTCTGTCTCTCTCTCTGTCTCTCTCTCTCTCGGTAGGGTCTTTCTACGAAGTCCTGGCTGTCCTGGAACTTGTCTGTTATATAGACCAAGCTGACCTCGAACTCACAGAGATGCTGCTGCCTCTGTCTCCTAAGTGCTGGGATTAAAGACATATGCCACCATGGTCAGCTGTATTAGTCTTTACATGCTAACAATGAAGAGAGCAGGCTGCATCTTTTTGCATGGGTCGCAGAATGAGTCACGGAAGGTTGGAGGAGGTGACCAGAGAGTCTCAGGAGTCAACCAAGGCCCCACGAAGGCGGGCGGCGGGGGTGGGGGGGTGCTGTATGCTTTACCCACTAGAGAGCTCCAGGGCCCTGCAGGGTTCATTCAGTACACAGCAGTTATCCCGTGTGTGACCGCTGACTTGTCGAGGAGTAAATGTATATTGTTAGGGACTGGGGAGGGGGGAAACCTCAGCTGATGTCCTGATGTCTAGCTATTCCTCCAGCCAGAGACCTTCAGGACAAAAGCCAGGAAGGCCGCCTTGCCAAGGAAGCACAGGATGGGCAGGGGGGAAGGAGCTAATACTCTGCTACCAGCCCTTAACAGAACCTGCAGGTCTGAGCATGTCCGGGATTGCAAAGCGCTCGACTGGGAGGCTTCAGATATTGGCAGAGGCCCGGGAAGGGAAAGGTACTGATGGCCTGTGGTCCCCTGCAAGTCAGGAAAGAGATCACACCTGGCCTCTGGCTCTATGTGGGCCCCTCTGCTCTCCGCTCTCCAACACACACCTGACGCTCCTGGTCAAAGAACTTTGGAGCCAGAGTGGAAAATCTGGTTAGCCAACACCTGTCACCTACAACCTATCAGTCTAGGGCAAGGGGCAGACAGATGCCCGACACCTTCCTGCATACATCTCTGCCCAGACTGAGAACCCACAAATGGTCACTGTGGTCCGTCTTCTTGGTACCAACGTTTCTCTAAAGGGACCTTCCGGGCCTCCATGCCTTCCCTGTCCACCTCTCTCCCGGACTTCACTCCCTTCCATTCCCACCAACTTAGGTTTTCTGAGCCCCAAACCTTGGTGCCTTGGCTCCCTATCCCGGGAGAGCCGTTGGCATGTGCCAAGGAAGGACGGACTGCACCAGGGCATCGCAGGTCCTTCTGTGGGGCAGAGGCTGCACCCACCCTTAGATCCCACTTTGTGCCCTGCAGGAGACTAGCCAGAGGACGTCCAACAGGAATGCTCCGAGGGCTTCCACCCTGAGTCACCATCCAAAGGGACTCAGCCACAATGGGCTCCAGTCCCGTCATCTGGAAACACCCTTCTTCTCTTTATCCCCAGCCCCCACCCTGCCATCGGTCACCAGTCTCTGCTGGCCCTGGGCTCATACAGAGATCCAGCCCACCCTGGGAAACTCCCTGCACTTCCAAGGGAAAGGCTCAGGTTATTGCGGCTGGGCGTGGGGGGGGGGGCTTCAGAAACGTTGTCACCGCTCGGTGGCAAGGCTTCCCTGGGCTGCCCATCTCCCGGCACCTTGTCCTCCACCTTTCGGGGTTCAGGCTATGTGTGCTTCTCAACAGCACGCTGGCCGGCGGGGCTGCCTTTGTTTTCTCTCTCTCCACCCCCCTTCACTAGCGTAGCTTCCTCCTTCCCTCCCGGACCTTTTCCTCCTCAGAAGCCCCAGAGTGGGAGACCCTGGGGAAACAGGAGTGAAGCTGTGGAGGCTGAGGCAGTCTGGATTTCCGTCACTGGGGCTTGGCATAGAATGAGTGTTTCAATCATTCAAAGCCCTGGTGAGTTCCGGCCCTACCTGGTGTAGGGGGGCTGCTCTTCCTGGGGCACGAGAAGATACTACCCTTTTGGGGGTCAGAGGCTGCCCTTCCCGAGGTAAGGGACTGCCCTGCAGCCCACGAGGGTCTCTCCCAGAAGGAGGAAGGACTAAGCCGAGGAGGCTGGGCACTAACTGGGAAGCTAGGCGTCCAAGGCCGGGATGAGAGCGCGAAGGCCACAGGAGGTGGGAACTCTGGCTGGGGGAAGGCCGACTCATCGCAGGGGTGAGGAGCAGAGAGGGCAGCTGAGGGGCCACAGCTGGCCTAGGTGGAACACCCACCTTTCAATGCCCAGGCCACTGCTGAGGAAGAGGAGGGCTGTCTGCGTGACCTCCAGGGTCTGCTGGCACATGCTGTGAAGTATCTCCCTGTGTGAGACACCGTGACCAGGGCGCATGGCCTTAGGCAGGGACAGAGGGGGTCGGGACGGGTGTGCTCTGGCCCCCTCCACCCACCACAGTACTCACAGGACCCAGTGTAACCCTCGGAGCATCAAGGCTTGCCCATCCAGCAGGACCCGCGCCAGCCACAGGGCCTGGTAGCCAGCGCCCAGCACGCCCTGAAACACACAGATGGGCAGGCCAGGCCTGGCCTTCCCCTGTGTCAAACCCCCGCCTGCCGCCTGCGGGCTGCCCCTCACCTTAGCGGTGTTGTAATCTGACTGTAGGTCCACCTTGGGGACGAACTTTGGGACGTCCAGAGCAGCTGCAGACAAAGATCCTGTCTGAGGGGTCTGCTTCTATGGACTGGGTCAGCCCTGAGGCCATCTTTCCTCGTTCCCAGCTCCCAGTCACCCCTCACTGCTATTCTCCCATCTAAAGCTTCCCAACTCTTTCGGTGGCCTTTTGACCCAGCGGGTCTTCGACATCCCGGGTCTTTACTGCCATCGTGTGGTCATCTTTGAGAACTACACCCTAGAGCTCAAGGCCCTGCCTCTCCAGCCAGTAGACCCGCTACTAGACTCTATTCTCTTGCAAGTTTAAAGCCCCCTCCCTCACTCATAGGAGGACTAAGCATAATCCAAACGAGAGGGAATATTTCTAGAAATTAATGAAAGAAAAAAGCTATGGGTCTTGGCCCACCTGCCCTTCTCTCCAGCAGTCCCAGCTACCCAAAGTATCCCCACCAATCACAAAGACTGTTGAGGCCATAAGGGCTCCAAGTGCCCCATCTCTGTTGGAGGACCTGGGGAAAGCCAGGAAAGTCTAGTCACCAGCTCAAGTCACATGACAGCTCGATTCGCTTCTACCGTGTGGGACAGGGAAACACTTACTAAGAAAACGGGCCATGCCCTGGGTTGTAAATCTAAGCGTTCTGGAGGCGAGTGTCTCAGGTATAAAAGATTCGGCCCAGATGGCCCTACTCACGGTCCCTGAAGGTCAGGCCCTTGGGGGTGTCGCTGGCCATGCTGAACAGAACCAGGGGGCTGCTGGCAGTTGTGGGGGCGATGTGCTGCACTGAGAGGCTCGACTCAAGGACACAAGGGTGGCCCTCAAAGAGGTACTCCTGGTGTTTCGGGGGCACGTTGGTCTGCTCATACACAGCCTCCAAGAAGATGGCAATCCTAGACACACGGGAGGAGGGAGGTGTCGGGACGCACCGTGGGGAGGGCTCAGCTTTGGGGGGGTAGGGCTCGGGGGCGGGGGTAGCTTTTTCATCAGAGAGGCCAAAGGCAGAGCTCATGCAGAATGCGAAGTGGACCCAGAGGTTCCGACGCCTAAGCCTCTGCCTCTGTGTCCAATCCAGCTGTACCCTCATTGCAATTCTCCTGATCCCATACAGTGACCCTGGTGTTTGGGGCACATGCCAGCAATCCCAGCTCTTGGAGGGATGAGGAGCGAGCATAGAGCTAGAGGTCAGCTGGGCCACACAGAAGGTCCTGTCTCCAACAGCAAAGACCCAGAATTCAGTGAGTGGCAGGGTTCTGTGAAAAACAAGTCCTGAACCCAGGAAATGCAGTGCCCACCCCTGAGACTGGTAAGCCGGGATAGCACCATAAAGAGTACGGAATGTAGGACGCAAAAGGGAGGTCTGCTTGACTTGAACTTGGTGGAAATAGTCCTTTTTCCAAATGTGTTTTGGGAGAGGCTTCCCTGGACCCACACTGCTGCTTAGACAGGCGGGGGTGGGGGTGGTCTTAGTCCCTTTCTCTGCTGTTGGCACTCACGTGTTGTGGGCATGGATGTAGACATGGTGCAGGACCGCCTGGGGCAGGGAGAAGACATGGATGACAATTCGCTGCAGGATGTCGCTGGTCTCTGCAAAGAACTGGTCGAAGCCCCAGCACTTAGCCTGCTCTGCCTCCAGGATGTTGGCCAGGATGGGCACCAACTGGTTCTGCAGCCCCCTACACACACGCAAAACACGAAAACTGTCAGAGCTAGGGCCCAGCATCCGAATGGAACTTCCCAGGCTACAGAGAAGTGGAGGGCCCCGGTGCTCTGTTCATAGATAGCCTGGAAGTCCTGACTTAACAGAGAGACGTGAGCCCCGCTTAGATTCCAGAGTCTGCCCTTCTCACTTACATGGACAGTCTGCAGGTGATGGGGAGGCTATAGCTCCACTCCAGGGGCCCGTTTTCCTGCCTCTGAGTCCCTGAAATGGCCCCGCTTGGCTTCTCTGTGGTGATTCTGTACCTGCAGTGGGGGAGAATCAGGCCACTAGAACCACACCTCCCCGCCGCCCATCTGTCACACTTTCCCTCTCATCCGCCACACGTTCAGACACAACAAACTCCGCACACAGCACAGGCCGTGTCACCCAGCCATGTGAGGCAGGCTGGAAGGTGAAATTGGGGCATCCTGGCTCTACCTGTGAGCTCACCTCTGCCCAGTCAAGCTGCTTGCTGTAGCGGAGGCCCCCTCACTGCCACCATGGCTATACCAAGTCCGGCCACCTCCACATCTGTGCCATGCTGAGCACGGTGTCAAACATGGTCTCCTCGCTCTTTTGACTCCTCCCCCAGTCTATCCTTCCCTTACAGCACATCCCCCTTGTCCCTAACCCTCACGTTGGTTCTATACAGCTTGCCCCAGGACCAAGGGTACAAGCACCAACCTTCCCGATGACACACTGATAAGAGAAACACTCTGAGATGTCTTCCATGCATTACAAGATCTTGGAGAAAGGAAGAGAAGCTCCGAGGAAACCAACCAAGAACCATTTCATATCCCTGAGCATATGCTGAGGCGTGACTCAGACCCCAGCACCTCTGACCTCCAAGGCCTTTCGAGCTCGGCTTCTCTATACCTCTGCAGACCATGAGCTGCCACCAGCGCTGTCACAATCCCTTCTGCTGGGCTTCCCTGCAACCCCAAAGCCCTCTCCTCTCAACTGCCCACTACCTACAGCAATGTAAACTTCTGCTTTTCTTTCCCAGTATTTATGTGTAATGAACCCTTGACACTAGGTCCAGCAGATGTTTCCCCAACTGCCCTCTAGCTAGAACCTTGGGAACTTGTCCCAAGACTTGTCCTTTTTTCCTACACAGCATCAGTAACATCCTTGTATTGCGGGGCCCCTCATTTCGGTGGTTTGACGCAACTACGTCTCCTTTGTTGTGGGCAGTACATCCTGGCAGTCCCTGCTTTGAGCTCCGCCTATCAGTCAGTGAGAGACACTAGGAAGACCCTGGGCCTGGGTACCAGCCCCAACTTCACCCCAGCAGGCTCTGTAACGTTGTAAGCCTCCTGGAGCCTTCGTGGAGATGTGGTGGGGTATGAACGGGCCAGGGTTAGAGGGAACGCTGAACTAACATGAAGGGGTATGGGTGTTCTCTACCAAGCCAGGCGAGCAAGGCTGCACTTCTAGTCTGATTAGCAGTGGCTCGGAAGAGTCAAGGACCCAGTGGGGGAAGGGCCAGTTATCTGCCAGGAAGAATCCAGGGCCTGTCCCCTTCATTCCCTGCCCCATAGCCCACCGTACATGATCTCCTTGTTGCGCCGGGGCCCACCAAAGGGGATGAAGGGCAGACTACCGGTGGCTGCATGGTACAGGGTCACCCCAATACTCCAGAGATCCACAGTCACCCCAAACGCCTTTTGCTGGGGTTTGCGAAGCACGGCCCGCTCATACATGTCAGGGTGCTGTGGGAGAAAGGCAGAGAGTAGGGGACTCTTAGGGAGACACCAAGCAAGGGGCCATCAGCTTGGGGCAGAGGGTCCCCAGCACGTCACTTACCAGGTATTCCTCTGTGCCATAGACAGAGACAAACTTCTCCTCATCGTCCAGCTTCCGAGCGGCCCCGAAGTCAGACAGCTTATAGATGCTCTGCCCCTCCTCCCCGACCAGGCGCATGATGTTCCCAGGCTTGATGTCCCGGTGGACGATGCCGTTCTCCCGCAGGTGGTTCATGCCAGCCACTGCAGACACACAGAGCTCTACTAGCTTGGCTCAGCTAGGGACCGCTCAGTCTAACGTCTGAGGTTTGTCCTGATGATGAGTCTGTGCTTGCATCTAAATAGGCAGGGAGCTGCCACACACCGGGAACTCAGGGGCACAGGGAAAACCGCAGAACAGAGAGGCCCACAGGACTGAGAAGGGGCTGGAGAAATGCATCATCGGTTAAGAGCACTGACTGGTCTTTCAGATGACCCTGGTTCAATTCCCAGCACACAACTAGAACTCCAGCTCCAGGAGATCCAACACCCTCCTCTGGCCTCTGCAGGCACCAGTCACACATGCGATGCACAGACATGTGCGGGCAAAACACGCATACACATAAAGGAAAACTCATGTAATCCCTTTTAAGTGGGGTAGAGAGAAGGCTCAGCTAAGAGAACTTGCCACTCTCCTGAGGACCCGAGCTCAGTTCCCAGCGCCCACACTGTGTGCCTCACAGCATCTGTAGCTCCAGGTCCAGGAGATCTGAAACCCTCTTCTGACCTCCGAGGGTACCAGGCACGCACACGGTGCACACACGTTCACGTAGGCAAAACACGCATACACATTAATCTATTTTCCTTGAATAAATAAAAGGAAGGGGTCCCAAAGACATCATAATATAACTCATTTGGACTTTGTGGAGAGCCCAGGGCACACCTTCTCCATCTTATTATGTATTTGTGGTAGAATATACCTCACAAAGTTTATCGTTGAAAATTTTTGGTTTTGGATATGTTTCACTGCGTAGCCCAGGCTACCCTGGAATTCCTGATCAGCCTGCCTCAGCTTCCCCGGTGCAGGGAGTAACCAACCAGGCCCTTCAATTGAACTGTTTTTAAGCACACAGCTTGGTGGCTTTAAGCACTTTGACATGGTCATGCAAACATCACCTTCTCCCCCTCCCCAGGGGAGTCCACACCTATCTAACTGCATTCCCTGCTGGACATTTGCAGCCCTGCACGGCATCTGCCTCTGTCTCCCGCAGCTCGACTCCCCCAGGGAGCTGTGCCCTAGTCTGAAGTGTGGTGTTGCCTTTGCATGGCTGGCTGATCCCCAAGCACAGTGCTCTTCAGTTCCATCCACACTGCCTTGAGAGTTAGAATTCCCTGCCCTGTATAGCATACTCCACCGCCTGCAGGTACCTAACTCTGATAGGCTGTCTTGTCTGTTGACTATTGCAAATGATGCTACCTTCAACACCGGCAAACAATCTTTTTAGAATTCTCTTCCTACAGCTTGGAGCTGAATCAGTCCCGTGGGTCCTTCTGGCCCATCCCTTTGCCTCAGGCCCACTGGGCTGCCTGTTTCAGAACACCACACTCATCCTGGACTTTGCTGGTGGTGTGGAGGGCCTAGGCCTGGGGGCGGGGTATGGCTCACCCACACAGCGTAGGACCACCAGGAACTCCTCCTCAGGGAGCCCGAATGTGTTCTCAGGGTCTTCCAGCACACTCAGCAGGCTCCCGCTGGAGCAGTACTCCATCACTATCACCTTCTGCCGGCCGCCTCCCTGTGCACGGGACAGAAGGAAGCGTGGGGAGGAGGGTACTTCCCACTTCCGCCCGGGCGGGAGGTTGCTTTCCTAGTGCCCTCATTCATTAGGTGCAGCTTCTTGCCTGGCCTGCTTGCTGTTCGTCAAACCCATCCCAGACACAGGAACCCAAGGCTACCTTTCCAGAGAAACCCTCCCTGATGAGGCACTGATTCCACACCCTTGGGCTCCCTTATCAAGCCCCTCCACACACACCCGTGTCTCTGGACCGCCAATGAGCCTGACTTGCCCATCCCTAGACCACGAAGGCCAAGATCAAGAGCATCCTTTGCTGACCAAGCTGAGGACCCACCGTTTCCTCCACAGCGAACAGCTTGACGACATTCTGGTGATCCAGCTTCCGCAGCACCTCAAACTCCCTCACTTGCACCTCGGGGGGCCGCCGGTAGCTGGCTGAGTTGAAGACCTTTACAGCAACCACCTCCCCAGATTTCTGGTGTGTGTGTGGGCACAGGGTGTGGGATCAACACAGGGACCACAGTGGTCCCACCCCTGCCAGGGACCTGCCACCTTCCCCTCTCTTTAGCCTCTTCCCAGCCCCAGAGGAGATGGGGGTGGACGGAGATGGGGCGTGGGGGTAGGGGGTGGCTGGATGGGTTCACAGCTGCAACCCCTTCCCCTACTCAGGGTGCTGGAGAAGCCCTTGGAGGTAACACACTTGATATCCCACAAGGGTTGACTTGGTACTGCTCATTCTGCCATAGGTAAGGACTACCCCGCCTTGAGTTCCTGAGCACGGAGTGTACTGTGACACAGCAGCCACTGTAGGACAAACCCAGACAGGCCCGGCCTCCCAGCCCTGCTGTTCCTAGATCCCACTCACTGTCACCTTCCCTTTGCCTTGTCCTCTAGTCCCAACATGTCTCGGACAGAGGTGCCATTCCAAGGCATTTTTTTTCCAGCAGCCCACACATCAGCCCAAACCTATGAGCCCTTTCTCATCAGGGTAGACAGAACAGAGCCCTGGGGCCCGTACACAGCTACATAGCGTCTTAATGCCCAATGGAGGGCTAGTTCTAGGGCTATTACCTTGTTTCGGGCCTTGTACACACTGGCAGTGGCCCCCTGCCCTAGCAGGTCATCAGTGTGCCATAGGTAATTAGCTGTACTCTGCATCTCCCAGGCTTGGCTACTTCCCACCTGGGAAAACAAAACAACCAACCGTGTGGGGGCCCCAAGGTCCTGTGCCTGACTCCATGTGGCCATGGCATAGGCAAGGGAGCTGGGGAAATGGTGGTAAACGAAGGTTAGGTAACTTCCTTCCAAAGAAACAAGACTGGGTCCCAAGCTTGCATCTGTTATACCCATGGGGACTTCTTTCTGCCCTGTGCCCCAGATCCCTTCCAGCACCCTTCAGAGGTAGGCCAGTCTAGGGGGACAAACCTTTCTGTATCACCTCTTCTGGGAACTGGGGACTCAGAGTTTTGGCATCCAGGCCTGGGATTGTCCCAGGAAGCAGACACAGTGCGGGAGGAAGGGCCCTGGGTCAGCCAGGGTCAGGCAGAGCCAGTCACACTGCCACAAATCTCCAGGATTGCAACACGAGCCCGGAGCCCCTACCGCCACCCCTCCTCTGCTTGTATGGCCCCTAACTTCCTACTGCTGGGAGCTAATAGCTGCCCAGTAGGCAGCCAGACCTTGGCCAGTGCTTTTCCAGAAGGAGAGACAGCCAAGGAGAAAGGATCAGAGGGAGAGAAGGGAGGAGTAAGTGATGGAGGATTTAAGACCATCACACACACATACACACACACACACACACACACACACACACACACACACACACACACACACACACACACACACACACAGCCTCAAGAGGTCTGGGGAAGATCTGAAACTGTCCACAGCTCTGCTCCCCATCTTTGCTCTCATCCTGTTCCCTCCAAAAACTTGGTTCCTCTAAAGCAACTGGTTCCACAAAGTATAGCCGCAACTGGTATAGCCTGAGAAGTTACATTCACTGTCTATGTGCAAAATAGGGCCAGAGCCAGCCTTTTGGGATGCCCAGGGGCAGGAGCACAAGAAAGGCCACCACCCCTTCAATGTTTTGAAATAAAGTTGCTTTAGGCAGGGCCTCTTCCTGCTCCAGCATCTCACTGGGTCTCAAACCAGATGGCTCAATTTTGAGCCCACTCTCTCTCTATTTTTTTTTAAAGACAGAGTAGCCAGCCCAGGTACCTTCAGTGGTACTGAAGAGGGTCTTGAACTTCTGCATCTACCTCCCAAATGCTTGAATTGTACTTGTGTACCGTCATTCCCTGTTAAACTAGGTAGGTGCTGTCCCGGGATCGAACCCACAGCTTCATGCGTGCTAGGGCAAGCACTCTACAGACTGAGTGAGCTAGGTCCCAGCTGGGAGTCTGATTTAAAGATGCAAACTCTGGAGAACATGAGCTTTTGAGCCAGAAGCCACTGGAAGAGATCAGTAGTCACACCCGAGTGTCAGACAACACACTCACGTTGGCATTATGCAAAAGTAAGGCGAGACCTTCTGAAGGCAAAGGGAATGAGTTGCCCACGGTTCTCCATGTGGTGGAGTCAGCCTAATGTGAGGCTCAGGCAAGGTGTACTGAAATGGAGGTCAAGGTCCTAGCCTTGGGAGCTGGGAGCACCGGACTGTATCACCTTCATAACTCTACCTAGGCTGGTTCTCAACCAAACCCTGGTGTTAGGGCAAAGCACAGGTGAAATCGGGCAGATGGGCAGCGAGACGCACAGAAGAGAGTTCCAGGTGGGCCACACAGTTCTGGACTCTGGCACATCTGGATCACCTCTGCATTCTTGTCTCCCAGAATGTGTAGTGAGTCAACACCAGCCTGCTCACAGACTCCCATCCTCCTTGGGGCTCTTCTGTGGCAGACGTACTTACTTACTTGCACTCAGAGTGGCCCAGAATCAGGCAGACTCTCCCTGGCGAGTGTGTGTTATGCTTTCTGTCTGGGGCAAGTTCAGGAGCTGAGCTACACCGGAAGAGAAGGGTGGGCGGATGAGAGGCCCCCTTGGTGCCGTTTGATTCTCAGCCCCATCAAAGGCCACCAGTCTCAGCCTTTTAAGCCCTTTCCGTTGTCACCTTCCCTACGGCTGCTTTCCAGATGTTCTGGAAGCCTCTCCTCACTATTTTGGGTCTCAGGGAAGAGATCCCAAGCAGAGGTCAGTAGGGGCACCCAAAGCTGAACCCCAGCTTTGTGTCAGCATGTTGGGAAGCAGAACCCAAGGGGGGAACCTTGTTGGCCAATGGTGGCTCTCCCCAGGGCCATAATCCTCCCTGCCCCTGGCCTGGCCTCTGAGAGTGTTTATTTCAGAGGGAGTGCAGGACATCACCAGGTTCCCGGTAGACACAAGAAAGACATAGGGAGGGGGGATTCAGCTGTTTCCTTGAAGCTGTCCACCTGACCCCCCCCCATGCCATGCTCCTCTTCAGCCGCTGGCTGCGGTGCACTCACCCCATCTCCTAGCTCAGCTGCAGGGGAATGCAGACTTGTGGGACTGGGTGGCATCCCCAGGGATTTCAGGCCTTGAAGTCAATCGTGGGCAGTGCCTAGAACATCCTGGTAGTCATGGGCCTCCAGCATCCACATGCAGCAAAGCTAGCCCTGGGCCTGAGGTTTCTTTCTTGCCTCTCTCAGAGCAGTGGGTACCCAGGACAGCAGAGCTCAGGCTCTCAGTTAAGTCACACTTCCTGATTGACTTCTCTCCCTCTCCCCACCTCTTCCCCTCCCTTCCTCTCTCTCTCTTAAAGAGACAGGCAGCTCAGCCGCTGCCACACAGGCCTCCACCCCGCATCAGAAAAGGGAAGGAGGATGCTGTTAGGACCATCATCTGAGCCACAAAGAAGCAGGGACTGAGACTGGGGCCTCTGTGACAGGCCACTGAGTGCTGTGCTGACATCTCTGGCATGGAAATTCAGGGCTCTGTTTGAGGTCAACTAAAGAGGTTGAACAAGTTAGCCAAGTTGAAAACTGCCTATAAAGTCCCAGGACCTGTGCTTGGCCTCTCCCAGAACCTGGACAGGACTGGCCTTCCTTAGAAACTGCAAGAACAAGCATACACCCAGGTCACAGTCTCTGCTTTGACTGGCCTTACAGCAAAGCCTGTCCAAACCCCCCCCCCCCCCCGGGCAGCTTTCTGACCACAGCCTGAAGGTGGGCTTTAGGCTACATGGACAGCAGGGAACGTATTATCTGGTAAACTCGGGGAGACTGGAGAATGGCATTCAGGCCACATTTGATGGCATCAAGTCCTACACATCTTTAGTAATTTGCCCATGATTTGCCACCTTCTCAGGCATAGCCCAGTGCCCCAAATATCCTGGGAAGTGGGAAGGGGTCCGTGTTGCTCTGGTCAGCTCTGAGGAGGTAGCTGGATACGTGGTTAAAACCAGGAAATTCCATGTTTCTCTAGAATGTTGGTGGGACTTTCCCCCGGCCACACCTGGTGATTTCCTCTGCCAGCCCCACCCCACTACAGGAGAGGAGAGGCAAGACAGGCCCGGAGCTCGTTGGCTGACAGATTCACCTGACTAAGATGACAGCTAGAGGCCCTGCTTGGCTTCACACGGCAGGCCAGGAGGAGCAGCCCTGAGCGTCCACACTCCGGCCTGCGTGCTACAGGTGTCCACCCGGCAAGAACGTGGACGAACTGCATTTGCTGACCACTTAGGGCTTGGAGAGGACGGAGCGGGTGCTTCCTCTATGGAATCACTTCACTGCTGATGCAAGACCGACCCTCCAGGTCTCCTACCCGCTAGCAAGGTGACTCCATTCAATGTGGCTGCTCTATCAGTCTAGAGCAGTGGTTCTCAGTCTTCCTAATGCTGTGACCCTTTAATACAGCTCCTCATGCTGTAGAGACCCCCAACCATAACATTATTTTGTTGCTACTTCACAACTGTAATTTTGTTACTGTTATGAATTGTAACGTATCTGGTATGACTCCCAAAGGGGTCACGTAACCCACACACGGAGAACCACTGGTCTAGAAAGTCATCTGAATGACTTTCATGATCAGAGTGCCCCTCTGGTCCACCAGGGATACTGAGGTTTACCAGGGATACTGAGGTTTACAGGATCACCTTGACTGTCCTGAAGGCTGCTTGTTTTCCTCCATGAACTAGCACTCTTACTTTCCTTTCACTGGCTGGCCTAATTAATCTCTTTCCTCAGGGACTTTCACAACTTCTAACACAAGAATCAAGTATAGCGTCTCCCACGAAACAGACACTGTGTGCTCAGGTCAGAAAAGGAGAGACACAGGCAGCTTATCCCAGAGAGGTGCCAGAGAGGTGGGAGTGAGTGAGTGCAGGAGACGCACACTCAGCAGGGCTTGCTGGGTGCTCTGAGTTGGTCAGAGAAGGGGAACTCGTTCAAGCATGGGAAGCAGGGGCAGAGGTTCTGAAGCATGGAAAGGGCATGGATTGTTCAGGGCTTTGTACTTGGGACACTATGGAAAACCAGCAAGGGGGACCTGTGCTGGTGATAGACGGCGCTCTACCAGTAGATTCTGGGAGGAAATATCCTTGGTATGGGCAAAATATAGGACTGTCCTGTCTGTGCCCCAGCCTCATGGAAAGTTCAGAAGCTTGGAGAGAGGAAGATGTCCATAAGGCGCTTTGCCACATCTCCCAGACCCAAAGAATTATAAAAATAGTGGCGATCCAAAGGCAGCATAGGGACCAGAGCGTGTGCGTGCGTGCATGCGCGTGTGTGTTCAGCTGCCAATTCTGAGGAAAAAAACCTCATGTCTGTTACTGATGGGGGCTGGTGTGGTGGAAAGGCTGCTACATCATTATTAAGGCCCCCTCTTAAACAGGACTTGCCATTTAACTTTTCTCAAAGGATTGGTATAAAGCAAAGAGATGACATGCTTGGTACCCAGTGGGTTTGGAATAGGTATTATTTTGGGGATAGTGGCATATATCTGTGGTTCCAGCTTCCAGCAAGGCTGAGGCGGGTTTACCGGAGCCTAGGAATTCAGGACTAGCAGGGCATCAGAGCTAGAGATATTTTAAAAAAGTGTCAGGCAGCCGGGTATGTAGCTCAGTAGTAGTACTGTACTGCTCAGCATGCATGGGGCTGAGGTTCTGTACCCGAGTGGTGCTGCACCCCCTAGCCCTCCACAATACAGTGCTTCCCAGTACCTTAAAAGTAAGGAAAGACCGGGGCAGGGTGGTATACGTGTGTGGGCTTGTGTATAGGGCCTGGCTGTACTCAGTCACAGGGCAAAGTGACCACAACATCGGAGCCTATAGCTAGTTGACAGCTTTATAAGTCAACTCTGCCCAGGAGCTTTGGTGAAGGAGGGACAAACACTACAGCCAGAACCGGCACCCGACTCTTCCCAAGCAGCCGGAAAAGGCTGTGGGTGCATCATCCAGGCCCCCAAGGGACCTGGTCCTTGTGCAATTATCTGTCATTGTTCCTCATCTGGAAATGTGTTTCTTTCCTCCCATACTCAGATTAGGACCCTGCCTTCAACTTAGCCAAACTGAAAGAAGCAACAGCCACTGACTGTCTACGCCTACCCTAGTATCTGCTGTTCCTCCCAAGACAGGGCCATGCATCCCTTCTGTTGGGCCCGCCACCTCCACTTGGCTATGCAACTCAGCAGCCCTTCAGACTCCTGCCTGTCTCTCCCTGTGTCTGGCCACACAGCAAACATGCCTCCACTCTGTCTATCTTCAGAACAAGCTGTGATCCTTAGCTCCTCAGGATGCCCGCATTCTCCAAGCTGCTGGGTCCATCCTTCTTTGCTGCCTAACCCACTCCAGTGAGTTCATTTCCCATCTGCTGAAACAATGCTTTTCTTTCGTTTTATTTTTTGAGACAGGACCTCTCTATGTACCAAGAAGTTCCACCCCCAACCCTTCCCACCTTTTTCTCCCCCATTTGAGACAGAGTACCCTCTATGTAGTCCTGGCTGTCCTGGAACTTGATAGGTAGAGCAGGACAGCCTTGAACTCACAGAATCTTCCTGTCTTTGCCTCCCAAGTGCTTGGATTAAAGGCCTGCTCCACCACGCTTACTTTTTGAAACCAGCTTTATCTTATCTCCCCACAGCACTGGTCTCTTAACAGTTGATCCCTCCCTTTGTCAAGTACTTCCTTTTCCTGATTTCTGTGGCTGGCACCCTTCTGCCACCTAGGAGCTGAGCTTACTCCATTTTTTCTTCTTCTTTTGCTGGCTCCTCTTTTACACGAGATTTCCATCTACACCTCACAGCAGAAATCTCAGTTTCAATATATCCTACTGGATTTTGGGTAGGATATCCCCCAAACGCGACTCACATCTTCTCACTTGTAGATCTTTTGGTCATGTCAGCATGGCCTGCTTATGCAGAAATCTTCATTTTCTCTGCTTGATTTCACACCACAATGGCCTCCTCCTTCGTTACACTGCCAAAGCTGGCCTCCAGCTGTGATCGTCTTGCCTCAGCTAATGAATATCTGGGACTACTGGAACATGCCATCACACAGCTCCCCAGCGGCCTTGTCCAACCAGCATCTTCTTTCATTTTCACATCCACTTACTTTGCTTTTCTTGTGTTGAGTAGGAAACAAGCTCCACTGCCTGCCCAACGCAGCGCTTGAATAGACATATTACAGACAGTTGATTACCTAATTGATTCTTTGCCACATGTAATATCAGGGTTAGCTTCTGAGTCAAAGGAAACTTCCTGTCAGCTGTGGCAGCTCGTGCTTGGAAATCCTAGCACTCAAGGGGGTAATGTAAGAGGATCGTGAATACATCTGAATACATTGTGACATCTTTCTTACCTAACTTCCTAGAACAATGGGATCTATAAACATTTAAGTGAAATAACCCTAACTGCCCTAACTGCGTACTCACCTGGTCTCGTTTTGGTTTCCATTCAGCTGAAGTGCATTTGTGTACCGTTCACTGCCATCTGCTTCCATCACTGTCCCATCAGAATACATATATGGGAGAGGACCTCAAAAGCATGACCTGTAGGATTCTCTAAAAGTCTTTGGTGCTTTGCCCACAGCCTAAGTGTTGGCTCCATCTCAGCAACTCAGTGGTTCCAGGGATCCCTCTTCATATACTGCTGCCAGGGAGAGAGCCCCTACCACAGGGTGGCAGAAGAGTTTCAATTTTGACTTACCCCAGGGCAACAATGCTTACTGTTAATAATGCTCGGTCATTAATAGAAGGAGATGAGACAGGTTTGTAGGGCAAGAAGGAGCTGAAGATCAGATATATACGAGAAAAAAATGACAAGCCAAAGAGGAAATGTGTCCATGTTAGGGCTGGAGTAGGATCCTGTGTTACTACCGAACACAGGTAATGCCAGTAAACAGGATGTCTGGTATTATAGTAAGCTCCCTAAAAAAACTGTTGACCCCAGGCTTGTAGAATTTATTTTAATTTGTTACCTCCCTTGGTATTTTGCTGCTTTTGATTATCAGGTGTCTATTCATTACAAATGTCCGCATTGCACAAGACCTGTGAAAATCCCAGCATGGAAAGGGGAGATGGGCATGAACTCTCCTAGCAGAGGAGCTATGGGCAATTGTTAGCAGCTGGGAAAGGGAGGGTCAATTTTCTCTAAGAGTGTAACCCCCAATAGGTAGAAGGCCACACATCCAAGAGTATTTGGGCAGTACAAAGTAGCCTTGATAGAAGGGGCAAAGTAGGGAAGGGGGAATGAACCTGGGAAGAAC